TTTTCTATCCAAGGATACCTAATTGCATAACTAAAGAAACGTGCCCTGATTAAACTAATTGCATGTGAAATCAAGCAAATATCTAAACAGGATTTTTCTGTGTGAGCACATATCCCCTATGGTGACACGAGGAAGCTTGTTCGAACACTTGGTCATCACAGGGGATATGTGTTGACACAGAAAATCCTGTTTATAGACTAAGAGGTTTAAATGTATAATTTGGTAAATGATGATGCCTCATGCCACATTTATCTGTTGGTAGCATAACAAAACTCTAAATCAGTACGGCCGTACTGTACGGCTTAAAACATCAGGTTACAGCTTCCATTGACCACTGTCATAGACTTAATTAGAGAAAAAAAGAATTGCATCAGCAACATACGGCCTTAAATATTTACTGCAAAACAAATAACACAAACCTGGAGAACCCCCACCAGAGGAGAGGAAGGCACATCACCAAATATGTGAATCGAAACAGTGGACATAGCCATAGACAATGGTCTCAAACTTGGTTTGACACAATGCAGACAGACATAATTTACAGGGCCCTGCATTCGTGGTGTATATTGTTAAAGAAGAAAAGAAACTGGCTGATACAGTCATCAAATGATAGATAAATACAACTAAAAAGTATGTTAAATTAAATTGGGGTACGGGAGGTAACTATATAAAAGCCAGTTACTGATTTAGGAAACACCCAAGAGAAAGGAAAAAGCCTGAGTGATACCACCAATCATTGGAAACCAATTCTAATAGTTCTGAATCATTATTTTTGCCTTAAAAAATTAGACTTCTGATCTCATATGCAACATCTACTGACACGAGACAGGAACCAAAGAAAAAGGGGAAGGTATCTTCTTCCAATAAAGCATGCTGCTGAGAAATAACATGATCAAAAAAGCGCTATGATATATAAGTAGGCAATACGAAATGATTCAAAAAAAAAATTACCTGCGTCGCAAATACAAGCAGTTCTCCAATTGCAAAAAGAGCAATGAAGGCATACAAGCTCTTAAAACAAAAGGCAGCAAAGCAAAATATCGCTCCAAAAAATGTTGCCACTGAAAGAAGCTGCAATACGTACACTAACATCATCAGTGGCTGGGATTGGAAGGATATCAAGTACATACACCACAGGAAAATAGGTGAGATTAACATGATAACTGAACTTTATCAATCAGAGAATGTGCTAAACTGAAACAAGAAGAGCTGTATAGCCAGAAGAATCAATCCTTTCCTGGATACTTTTCATCCTAGTGAGAACTGTACACCAATTTTCATTACAGGGTTTGTACAAACACCATAAATTTGAGGTTTATGACTGAACAAGCATTGGATAATAAGGTTTATTGCTACTTTTCTCTTGATTGAGCATATGCTTGTCTTGGCACAAAATTCTAAACCTGGACGACATTATTGCCAAATGAATAAACGGTCTAAGAAGGTATTTGTGGCCTACACTACTGCTGTTATCAGCACCATCAGCATGTCAGAAAAGCTAAACCTGGTACAGCGAGAAGGAACAAAATCAAGCAACAGAATATTCAAAAGGGGGAAGAAATTCTACAGGATGCACTATAGTGTAAAAAATAGACATCCATAAGGCCCCCATCTCAGTAAAAAGCCATCTAATGGGTAAAACAAAAGAAACTGAGAGAACTATAGGAGTGTTTGTAGCAATTCTGATGTCATGATGCCTTGACATTACTTGCAGGACTGGACACAAGAGTGCAGCAATGGAATCTTTTCATCATTTCATTCTCTTCCACAAGATGAGTAATAGACTACACACACGTCAGGGAGGGCTAAGGTCCTATTTCAAAACCTATTTCAAAATGATGTATTACCTTTTACTATGCCTTAGACACCATTTTCAGCAAAGACGAAGATACAAGAAGAATGTAACTGTATGCAAAGAATACCATAAGTACCACGATACAAGACAAGGTTGATCGATTGAGTAATTTCAAATATAACGAGAGGGATCAACTTCCCAAACATTTTCGATAACTGGAGACAATTTGTCCTTTGCTCTAGCTGTTCTTTGCTCCCCCTTTCCAGNATATATATATATATATATGAGTCTTGCCAACATACTCATGAAGGTAGTATGTTAGCATTGTACCCATTTTCTAATTCTCTTAAGTACCCTTACTAATGCATAACAAAATTTCTAATAAGAGGGACTTTTTCGTCTTTCCAGCAAAAAATCCAAACACCAATACTCCCTCTTCCTCAAAAACAATCACGCCACCCCGTTCTTCCTCTTCATTGGAAAATCCTGTTTCCCCTTTTCTTTTTTACGGCAATGTTCCTGTCTATTTATTTCTCTGGCGAACTTCTCCAATCCATTCTTTCTCCAATAAAGGCAGTCCTTCAGTTTTCTCCTTTTCTTCCATGTTTGTTAATCAAAGGTAAAATTGAGAGGGAAATCAGGGAATTTCAGAAAGAACCAAAAAAAAAAAAGGAAAGTGGTGGTTGGCTTTTGAATAGTTTTGGTTGCACTAATTGTTGGCTTTCCGGCATTGTTTCGGGAATTCTTCAAAACAAGTGCTACAATACTTGTGATAATGTGATGACTAAGGAGATTCTCTGATGCATATAAAAACGCATATTCAGCACTGCTTTTCGGATAAGAGTAGATCTTGCTGAACATTCACCCCATTTCGTTCTTATGCCTACATGGTTCTGGGTGTGTGCAGAAAAGAAGGGGAGGGGATCGGACGGAGAGAGAATTAGTGTTGGGTTTAGTTCTTGAAGGGAAAAGACATAACTACACATTTTATAATGTGTTGGTAATGTATTTGTATAAGTGTGAAGCACAAAGTGAAGAGTCGAAAGACTAAAATGCCCATGTAAGATTAATCGACATTTATGCCCTTTAACAACTATGTTATTGCTTAATTTACAAACAAGCAAAATTATAATAGGCTCTCTCCTCTTCGTTCTCTCAAAAGGTGGAGAATTTGAGAAGTTATATTCAATGATTTAGCATAAACCAAATTCATCTTGATAATTGTACAGACACGTAAAATAATAATAATAATAATAATAATAATAATAATAATCATAATAATAATAATAATAATAATCATAATAATAATAATAATCACTATAATAATATAATTGAGTTTCTTTCATTAGTTACCTGCTATTACTATATTCTTCTTGAAAATCATATATTGAACAATCAAAAATCAAGTTCAACTAATCCAAAGCTGAAAAGACTATTGTTACACTATGTATAATTTACTTTGAATGGGCAGCAGTTACCAGGAGGCGAAGAGCCACAAGTCTATAATATTTAAGACAAATTTGGTTTCACCTTGTACTTGACCAGTTCTTATGGCTGTACGTAGTTCTTGAATTCTTGGTCGTTGAAGAACAATTGATGTCCCTCTATTTCTTCATTCTTGCCACACTTATATGCTAATCGAGATCATTGGAGTTAGATTCAGGAGCTATAATTTTGTTGAAGGAGAAGAAGATCTACATAAATTTGATTTATTTGTTTCCTCTCATATTCTTGTTCATACCGGTAGTATTAGTACGTACTCTCGTATTCTGTTGGTATTAGGTTTCTCTGACTACCTGTCGTTTCTTTCATTTTAGTCATTTTAATATCTTGTTGTTTTTTATGTCGCTTTTACATGGCTTCTCGGTGCTGTCCCTTCTTGTATGTCTTCTCATTACTGTGGTGCTTATGCTTTCCTGAGTCAAGGGTCTATTGGAAACAGCTTCTCTATCTTCACAATGTAGGGGTAAGGTCTGTGTACACACTACCCTCCCCAAACCCCACCATGTGGGATTATACTGGGTATGTTGTTGTTGTTTCCTCTCATATTCAGTCTTATTATGCATAGTTTATTTTGTCTTTTCCACCAGATATATAGCAAAGATGCGTATAAAAGTCTGTTGAAATGCTTTGATTCTTGGAGATGAATTGGCAAGGATAACATTCAAATTTGTCACATACCTCAAATGGATCTTAATCAATATATAATTTCTCTGCTAATTAAACTTAGAATGTCATTGTGTTTGTTATAGGTTAACAGAAAATGCTACTCGTTACACCAAGAAAACAATCATATCAAGGCACTTTTAGTTGGTTGTGACTTGTGAGGAATGAGAAAGAGCTTGGGAGCTCTTAGTCAATGTCATGAACATGAATCGCATATATAATGTTGTTGTCTCCTTAAGACCATAGGTGTAGTTAGGTGTGGTTGCAAACTTTTTACTCCCGCAGTGTACTAGTCTTATTAGAAGCTGTTCATTGTTTTTAGGAATATTTCAGAGGAAAATGTTGAAGTTGTTAGAACTTGTTTGTTTTTTCAGTCTTATCAAATTAATGAAAAAGCTTGTTTCTATATCTCTACTCCTTTCTATTTGCATGCTGTAAGTTTTGCTAAACCTGGTAAATAATGAAGGAATCATACATTATTATTAATATGNCTGAAGGTTCACAACCCTTGTTTGAGAAAGTCCAGTTGATGTCAGATTAAATGGACATGATATTCGAATTAAACACAGGACACAGGATTAAATAAGAAGAGATTTAGATATTTTTATTTGTTTATAAGGATTTAGATATTAAAAAGAAAACCTTCAGAATGCGAAATGTCTACCTTAAAGGCATTGGATATTGTGGAAGTCATTCGATCCAGAACAAAGCCTCCTGCTAAGGTTCCAAATATTCCACATACGATAGTAATACCTCCAAACATCAGATCTGCATTGTTCTGCAGAAGGCGCCAATTGCAAATCAGCTAACATGAACTGGTGCTTTTTGTTTAACTTGGTTAAATGCGAGACTGATCCACAATAAGATGAAAACCATAACCAGTTCATGCAACAAAAATAATGTAACAGGATGGAGTATTTACCAACTGGGCTCATTAAACTTGTAAAGAAATGTCGATCTCGGAGACAAAGAAAGAGTTTATCAACAGATTTACACAAAAATACACTTTTCTTTTGAGAATGGTTATGAAGTGAAGTAATGGCTCTAAATGCTTACCATATGGTATATGTAATAGCCAGCCTTTGGTCCCCAGTATGAATAAGCACCTATTACAAAATTATATGCTATGTATCCTGCAAGGAACCATGCAAGTAGAAGAAATCAGAATCTAGTACATAGCAATTGAGTGCTAGCTAGTTTAGTGCATTAGATGATATCATCAAATTTGTAAAAAGTAGTAGGAAGCATAAAAGAGGTTCACCACATGCCAGTAAAAATAAAAAGCATCAAAACGACAGAGTCGCACAAGTGAATACAATACCTAGGACATTCACAACGTAGACCTTGTCAAGCAAAAGCGCCTTCATATCCTTCCAAAATCTTGTCAACTGATTCAAAATTCTGGGTGCACTTTTTGAACTGCAAAAGAAGAGAGAAAAATAAGACACATGGTAAAGTCGTCTACAGTCATCGGTGACTTCCTATCACAATCATGTTTGCAAGAATGATGGTAAATCTTGGCTGTCATAGACCATGGTTTTATAAAGGTTCCTTACTCATCCTTGGAATCATTTCTTATTGGGTACGAACCATCAATACTAGTTGAAGCAACTGCATTAATGACAAGAGATTGAGATCAAATTATGGTGACATCGATATAACCACAAAGAAAGAACCTAGTAAAGAAAACAAATAATAAGGAAAAGACGTAACATTAACCATATTTATCACAGTCGAGAGTTATCTCTTAGTGGCCTATAGTTTCAAATATATTTGAACCAGAGTTTTAATTAAAGAATGTTTATTGAAGCAATCTTCATTTAATGTTCGTATTAAATGTTTGTAGCTGAAGTACCTACCTATTCCTGACCACTTTGAATTACTCGTCACTTTATACTGGTAAATTGATTCTTAAGTTGTACAGGCAATAAAATCAACATGATATGAATGAAAGAGCTGCAAACAATGATTTTGGTTCATCCTAAATCTCGAGTTTCATTATGAAAGTGAGTAAAACCTTTAGACAAAGTCAAAGTAGCCAAATTTATATGAATCGTTCCTCCACTTTAAGCAATAGCAGCAAAAAAGCACACACAAAATTAACTCCCAGCATTCATACCAATAAAGTCTTGAAGAAGAAATCAGTCAAAGGAAGACCTATTTCCAACAAGGCGACCATCATGCGCAAATCAAAATTTATTCCATTAGATCAAAACTTATTTACCGGTGCATAATCTACATAAGATAGGCCAAAATATTTCAAGTGACATTCTCTCATTTTAGTTGTACCTTACAAAAGTGTCCACCTAACTTCTACTCCCTCTGTCCTAATTTATGTGACGCACTCTCCTTTTTAGGTTGTCCCAAAAAGAATGATACAACAACAAGAACAACCCAGTGAGTTCCACAAGTAGGGTCTGGGGAGGGTAGAGTGTACGCAGACCTTACCCCTACCCCGGAGAGTAAAGGGGCTGTTTCCGAAAGACCCTCGGCTCAAGAAGACAAAAAGAGACAATATATAGTGCAGGTATCATCGACATCCATAACTAAGATGCCCATAAAGCACCAAATGTTTTCAGAAGCAAAAATCAAACATCACTATTTCTATGAAAAGAACCCTCTTCTACTACCACCAAGGCTTTATAATCTAATGGTACCGGTGGGAGCAATAGGCGTGGATTGAATTCTCACTATCCCCTTCCCCTTCCCCTTCCCCCATGTAAGGGAACAAATTTTAGAAAACCCGCTCCTACTATGATCCTCAGAGTATAATGGGAGGAAATTGAAAAGGAAAAAACAATTATGAATGTAGCTAACAGTTTAATTATAAAGATAGGTTGGATACTTGGCTGATGAAGAATTCTTCTTTTACTTGAACTTCTAGTCCTTTCCCTCTCCAAAAAGAATGATACCTTTCTAAATTTAGAAGAATTTAACTTCAAATTTCCCACTGTACCCTTAATAAGATGATTTATAGCCACACAAATATCTGTGGCTTGTTTTAGACCACAGTTACAAGAGTCTTTCTTTTTTAATTTTGTGCCCAATCAAAGTCTTTCTAGCTGTGTCACATCTGTGCAAAACAAGAACTTCTCCCAACACAACTTGCTATCTAGATGTGTGATCCTCCTAGTTTTTGGCAACCATTTGCTTATATAACATTTCTCTTCACAGAGTAACATCTTCGGAGGATGCACCTCGCAAGCACATTATCCAGATATGGGAACCTTGTGAGTGAAATGCTGAAAGTTAGGCCACGAATCATGAACCCTGTTGAACTAGGTAGAGGAAGTGAAATGAAACCCATATGAGTGATTGTGTGCACATACCTGCTTCTGGGCAAGAAGTTTGCGCAGAAGTCACTGGATTTTGTGAACCGGTGTGCGAGAACCCTGTAGAAACATGTTCAGAAATCAAAGTGCATATAGGATAGGACTCAAAGATCAATATTACGTCACCTTTCAATTGCAATGGTTTCATCACAAAACCTAAAATTGCAAAAGGAAGCATCAGCAATGCCTCTATCCGGAATGCCCAGCGCCAATCAAGATGACTTCCAACCTACCATAGAGTGGAGCTTTAGTAAAACTTGACATGCTCCGCAAGAAAAATATTACACAAGAAAACATTAAGTCATAGCAACTAAAGCGAGCTCACCAATCCGCCATATACATAGCCAACAGCAATCCCAGTTGGGATGCACATGTAAAATATTCCCAGCCATGCTGTTTTCTGACAAGAAGGGCAATTAGCATGCAGAAATTACATTAAAGACATAACATGAGAAGCAGATACGTTTAGCAGGTACACATGGAGCAGCTATAAACTTGAAGAACCATGTTAAAACTAGTGATCACATCAGACTGTATATAATTGGATGTATTTGTAGACATGACAAAATAGGAATATACAAGAAGGTTGAATTAGAAAGAGTGTTCACTTCCATTATGAAATATTGTTGTCCATATCAAAGCATCTTCTCCATGTTTTTAAGGAATAACAATAAAAACATGGTACCATACAGTTTAGTAAAAGCGGAAAACGATAATTCTAGGAAACAACTTGCATAAAGCCTGGTTGTGCTCATTTTCTGTCAGATACCATCATGAACAGAATTGAATATGACATCTAGATATGTTCGACAGATCCACCAATTAAAAAGGAATAACCTCACAACTTGCTTTAAGCACGCCAACAAGAGAGTTCAATTGAGCCTAACCTACAATATCTTAAATACAATACAAGAGGTCCCTATTTATAGCTATACACTACAAGGAGATATTACTGCTCTTTCAATGTGGGACAAGACTACACTATTAAACTAACACTCCCCCTCAAGCCGGTGCATACACATCATATGTACCGAGCTTGTTACACATGTAACTAATACGAGAACCAGAAAGAGACTTAGTGAAAATATCTGCTAGTTGATCATTCGACTTTACAAACTTTGTAACAATATCCCCTGAAAGTATTTTTTTCTCTAACAAAGTGACAGTCGATCTCAATGTGTTTAGTCCTCTCATGGAACACCGGATTTGACGCAATATGAAGAGCAGCTTGGTTATCACACTAGTTCCATCTTGTTGATTTCTCCGAACTTTAACTCCTTGAGCAACTGTTTGACCCAAACTAACTCACACGTCGCCATAGCCATGGCCCGATATTCGGCTTCGGCGCTAGATCGAGCAACTACATTCTGTTTCTTGCTCTTCCACGAGACCAAATTACCTCTTACTAGAACACAATATCCAGACGTAGAACGTTTATCAAAAGGTGATCCTGCCCAATCAGCATCTGTGTACCCAACAATCTGCTCGTGGCATCGATCCTCGAATAGTAATCATTTGCCTGGAGCTGGTTTTATATACCGAAGAATGCGAACAACTGCATCCCAATGACTATCACAGGGAGAATCCATAAACTGACTTACAACACTCACCGAAAAAGAAATGTCACGTCTAGTCACTGTGAGGTAATTCAATTTGCCAACCAACCTCCTATATCTCGTAGGGTCTCTAAGAGGCTCCCC